ATATATATACGTAATATAATTATTCCTATTACAGAAATGGAGTATGTATACACAAGCATAATGGTACATCCGCGATGCATTAGTGGAGTAAACTTATTTGAATATCGTGCAATGTCAAAAATAATTTTTAAGCCAAAATACACTGAAAATGACAAAGTATTTGAAGAAGAAAATATCTATCGAGATAAATATAGATCCGATTTTAAAGTGTAAGTAGAAACTGTATAAATTGAGCCCATTTCAGTGCTGTAAAATATTATTTTTTTCTACCATACTTTTTAACAACACGCTTGACGACGCCCTGAACAATTAATTTTGCATAATGGCGTGTTACATGTGAATTACAGTTTCAGTCATTCAATAAAGTTATAATGAAAAAAAATCAAGATTAAATTAGATTGCCCAGAATTCTTTATTTTTTATATCTTTATAAGTCTTAATTACATTGCGCATTGCGTAAACTGAAAAACAGCCCCAAAGTCCAATCTTACTCCATCGTGCAAACTTTAACAACTTTCATCCTCCAATCGCATACAAAATATTTTTACTAGTGTACCAGGTAAAACTTTGATGAGTAGAATCAATCCGGTTTCGTCAGTAGCTATGATGAATGGACTAAGAGTGATCGCCACAGCATCTACCTAAATGCGTATGAACATTGCCCTCCTTGTGCGCTCTATCTCTAAGAGCCTTCTCATGATGGAAGCTGGTGAGATCTCGTTTCATAGCATAAGCATCTTCGCCGTCCGCATAATATTTTGGCTCTACTTCCGATACTTCAAACTGCAAGCTGCTTGTGTACAAGTTGAGAGCTGCACGATTACTTCTGCGTACATGCAATGAAACGTATTTTGCTCCGAAGCACTCCACCATCGCCCGAGAGGCCTGATTCATCAACTTTTGCGCGATACCTAGCCTTCTGTGGGAGCGCTTTACAGCGAGACTGGTAATATGCCCGTGGGGATTGTCCTCACAGTCTTCTTCCATCTTGGCAAGCACATATCCCACTATTCTTCCTTTCTCATCCTCTGCTACGTAACTCAGTTGCGGCCAAGACAGAGCATGGTATAGATAATATTTCATCTGATAATTCTCAGGTAAGCATTGCAAATTGCAATGCTGTATATTCAGTAGGTCTTCTGTAGTAGCACAACGTATATTTACAGACATTTTAGTCGGATATATATATACTCTGTCACGAGGTATCCAAGATTAATTTTACTTTACACAAAATCGTTGCGTTGGTATTATCAATATTATAAATATACGATAGCTTCAATATATTGTCCAATATTTAGTCACGACGAAGTTTCTTTATGCGTGCGCGACCATTCCTCAAATCGTTAACTGACGACGATTCACTCATTCCATTCCCCGTTAACTCTCTCACAAAGCGGAACCGTGATAGAAAGAACGTCCAAACTAAGTACCAACCTGGAAAAAAATCATAGTATAAATATTATATGATATGCAATTATATAAAAATAAAATAATAATAATGAAGCATGTATGATGTTATGTTGAGTAAGTTTTGTAATTTAGAATCTTATTAAGAACTTGAAATATATTTACACTTATCTCAATTTAATAGCTTAATATATCTTAATAATATAAGTGCTTTAAGCTTTATTTTAATCATGTATCTCAAAGCCCAAATTATATCTTAGCCCAAATTATAAATTATATATATATGTAAAATTCTATAATTTAATACTTAAAATACATTATAATTCAATAATTTATAATTCAGATTAATGATGGATTCAGTCATTCGCACTATAATAAATTAGTGCATATTAAAGCTGCTTTATATAAAGTATCTATATAAATGCAGTAGCATAATATAATTAACTTTGACAATGAAATAATACATGTACAATCTGTTAAATATTGTTAACGTTAAAATATCAATTTAAAATATTTATATTTGTGTATTTAACTTTGCATTTAACTTTTCTAATTTCATGTAGCAGCTTTTAGAATGCACTAATCTAGTATAATACAAGTGACCAAATTCGCTGTAAGAGTATTTGGAGTACATTCTTATCTCTTGTTCAGTTTAATATCTTAACAATGCAAGCACATTAATCATATATGTCAGATTCTTAGTTTTTTATTAGAATTATAATTTATAAAATTTATTACATATATATAAAATTCTACAATGTGTAGTGCTTAAGTAAATCATAGCAAGCTCTTTACTGTCCACTCAATGTAAATGTGTGAGTAAAGCATGACATAATGCAAAACAATATGCTTATCACTAATAGCGTTACATACAAAACGTGAGTTCTATATGATTGTCGCACTAAATTTAAAAAATACTATATAGAACACAATTAGGTATCTATACACGATCGCATTTACAGTACTAGCACGTACTAAGCACAAAAAAAAAACGAGAAACTCATGCTGTCGAATCCGCATGTTTTTTCTGCTGATAACGTAATTATGTCAAGATGTCATGATCAAGGTATCAGCGCCCTGACACGAGTGCTTACCTATCACAACAAGGAGAAACACTATTAATAAACTGAATATCACGGAGAACGCCGTAAGGAAGATTTCCATTGAGATTTCCATCGGAATTTCCATCAAGCGAAAACAAAAAAAAAGAAAGGGGAAAAAGAAGAAAAAGAAAAATGTGTGGAAGAAAGTGATTTTCCCTACGTCCTACGCGCGAGCGATGGCATAATTACTCCTCCACGAGGACAACTTGACGCGAGCAGCACCGTACACGTCGCGACTCAACGATCAACAACAACAGAGTAACAGGATGTCGCGACGACGGCGAGTCCATGCCTTGCCTCTCACACTTGGCACGCCATTTTGAAAATCGAAATCACAGGTACGCGCACAGGTTATGATTCCCATCCCCTCCTCACCGGCGAAAATGTACCACGCCGTCCGAACGATCACCATGCGATCTCACAACTGCACTTACCGAGGTCTACGACGCAGTTAGGTAGACGTCTTGGCTAACATCTCCACGAGCTTCTCAATCCTTTCTGCGTTTCCTGCCAATCCTACCGGCGAACAATCCCGCGAACTTCGCGGACGAGCGAGTATACCTAACTTAACGTCACACGACATGCATTCAGACTTCGGAGTTGGAACAAGTTGGGTTGGGGGTTGGGGTTGGACTAGTTGGAGTAGTTTATTTTGCAGTTGTTTTAGTGTGCATGGAACACAAGATTGTTACACCTTTTGCACTCACAATAGAATATGTGTAACATAGAAAGCAATCTCACTTATGTTTAATGTAGAAGTTATTTGATCTTTTATGTTTTAATGAGAATA